GGATCAAGGTATATATGGTTTGAGGTGATTTTAAAATAATGAAGCCTCTTGATATGGAAAGAGATTTGCTTCAATTATTTCACACGGTTTGGTATCAAATAACCCAAAAAATCATTTTAATTGCAACATTGAAGGAATTAATAATAGAACACGCAAGTTTAATTATTTTCATTAATATTTTTTTTTACAAATACAGTATAATTATTTAAAAACAGAGGAATAGAGGATATGGAGATAACGAACAGTATCCAATATCAAAGTCCATAAAACAATACAAAATATAGGAGAAGAGCAAACAAATAGACCTCCGAAACATCAGAGGGATCGGGTGCCATGGAGGAGTGAGCATCCCCTGCTGACCGGTCACACCCGCCGTTTGCTCCTTGTCATGATCGGGAAATAACGGAACAATCCGTCGTCAATTCAGTGTATAAATAATGAACTAACAATTAGTATGAAAAGCGTCACTCAGCATTTGACTCAGTAATAAATTGTATCGGCTGACAAAGCCATTGTATCGACCATAGAACTTACAAAATAATTACTTTAAACAAGACCGCTGATATTCTTGTTTCATCCGCTTGCTTATCAATAATTATATATAATTTACCTCGTTTTAGAAATTGTTCATACGTAGAGCATGTTCTTGCGTATCGAATCAACTGAGACAGATACACTCCGTATGCAGTTGATGAAAGTATATTGGTGCATAAGTAAGGGAAGTTGACGATAGAAAAGTTAAAGTCATCACGATTATCAAATAGCCTGGTTGTTAGATTACCATTAAAGTCTTTTTCAAGTAAAACATCCAAGTATGAAACAAATGTGTCAGACTCGATTGTATCTTTTATCTCAAGCTCACCAGGGTATATCGTTTCGACGTAGGAATGGAAATTACCATTGTTAATTGACATAACGTCGCAGATATATCTAAATGTCGAATTAAAGGCCACAATACTGTAAGTGTTTTCTTCATTCAAGCGTAAGATTTTGCACAAATTAAGCCTCATATAAATATAAAAAAAGCTATTAACGGAGCGCAACTGGTACCCATGGGAATTCCAATAGATTGTTGGAATACCTGGTCTCCAAAAACCAAATAGATATTGTCAATCAGAAACTCAAGCATCTTTTTGATGTCAACTTATGAGTCTTTTTTAAAAAAATATATATATATCTTTGGGGGGGGGTGGGATAGGCACAGCAGTCATCTTGAAGGTTCCTATCCCTGGAATGTGGCAATAGGCAACCTGTTTGTATATTTTTCAAACACACATATTCATCAAATGTCCATATAATCGTCACTTTCAAGTTGGTAGTAAATATATTATGTTGACTGTTCATTTGTTTATGTTGATTTCATAATGTCTTCATATAGACAATTTAAAGTTAACAGTTGTATATAAAATGATATGTTAATGTGTAAGTAGCACGATTGTGATCGACTCAACATGCTACTTGCCGTTTCGGACGACACCTAAAATGTTGTTGTAGGGGATGAGCCCTAATTTCTGTTAATGTTGTAAATAGAGTTACATGTATCTGACAAAAATATTATTTACCTGACCATTGTGGATAATATCTGCTTAAAAAAACAACAAACTTAAAATGTTTGTTTTTTTTATTCTGAAAAAAAACCCCATAAGTAAGCTTAATTACTAACACAAGCACAAGTATTGTGTACTGTATTATATTTTCATGGCTTAGAAAAGTTGGCTTAGAAAATGTTATTGTAGGGGATGAGCCCTAATTTCTGTTAATGTTGTAAATACAGTTACATGTATCTGACAAAAATATTATTTACCTGACCATTGTGGAGAATATCTGCCTTAAAAAACAACAAACTTAAAATGTTTTTTTTTTATTCTGAAAAAAAAAAAGTAATCTTAATTACTAACACAAGCACAAGTATTGTGTACTGTATTATATTTTCATGGCTTAGAAAAGTTATTACTGTCTTGTATAAGTGAGCACTGAAAAAAAATCCAGGTAGCAGATAAACATGTGCTGTATTCGAAATGATCGAGTTTTTCCTTTTTAAATGAAATAACATCAATTTAGTTTTAGTAAGCTTAAATTAATTTAAACTCCTTTATTTTTTAAAGCTTCAATAATTATGAAAATCCCAGCAGGTATTGCAAGAATCATCGCAATGATGCAAAAAGCAAAGGCAAAATGAAAGTCACTTATTCCGAGGTCAGTAATCTTAGCGGCATAAACAGAAATGGTTATCAAAATACACACCGCTGAAAGAAAGAAATGTATTGAAATTAGAAGAAAATATTGTATGTTCGTTTACTGGGTTAAGTTTCAAATAGTAATTTGACTTTTTTATTTAAATTTTTTTTATTTAACTGTTTCTTCAATATGATAAATGAACATTTGTAAAAACTATTTACCTCCTGCAAATGTTAACCCAGCAGACAGATAAAGAATCGACGCCGTGTCCGTACAACGTTTCACTGCCAGTGCAACAATGCCGAACAGCAGGAAGATCAACCCCAGGCAGGCAAAAGCTTGAACTGCCTTAACCCAATCTAAACAAAATGCAGTGAACAAAAAAAAGGTATCATTTTATTATCACAAACCAGTTCACCAAAATTATTTATGTTTTTTTTTTACCTAATTCATTACTACTGGTGTAGGTACAAGCGTTGATATGTTGACTGCCATCATTAAACAATGTTATCACAGATAATTCAATTTATGCCGCTATGAGAAATATATTATATTTTACACCTAAGGATAATTCTGCATATCCCTGCGCAGTCTGCAGGATATGCGCCCTTATCGCAGCGCAATTATCATAGAACCCTTCATTGCGAAATCGCACCTTATTTTGCTTGACAGAGTTATCCAATCAAAATCCTTGATTTTGTTGCGCCATTTTGTTAGCCTGGCAGTGCATTGAAGAAAAAAAAAATGTTTCTGCAAAAAGGGACCTGTGTACATGTGGTCTAAGATCAATTATTGGTCAACTTCTTAGGGGAGAATCATCGGTGCCTGTAATTTATCAATTTTATGCCGTGGAAACTATCCTCGTATCGGGGAACCTATTTCGGTGGAGGCACAGATGGTGTTGGCAGTTGCTGTTCACTTCGACAACCCCCTGTGAAGAATTTGAAACACGGGGTCCGCTTTCGCCCATGCACTGGAGAAGTTCTAGGAATGCAGTGTTTGTGCATTCCCGTCAATTAAGGGCAGTATTGTTTTGGTCATTATAACAAAACAAATAATGTTTTAACGTTTACATATTTGGAGCAGCTTTTAAATCATTATTTTATTCATACGTCATTTTGGTTAAGCTGCATGCCTTTATAAAATACAGGCTAACTGGCGGTGCAACAGGGCAAATCATTTTCATAATTTATATTTATTTACCATATGTACCTGTGACCACTTCATGGGTTCTCCTTATGATTTGTCTTTCTGATGTTCAGTAAATACATATTATGGAAATAAAAGTATTTATGTCGAAACTGTTTTCCATTTAATTATTAACCTGTATCATTTCCCCGATTATGATACCCCCTTTTCATGGAGAGAATTATCAGTTGTCTCGGCGAATGAAATCTCACTTGTACTTAATCTGCATTTACAGTCATTCACTCATTGTTTCATTTGAATATTCTGCAGCTGCATCAAAACTGTGAATTTTATATGACTGTTCGATTCTGCAATTTTATCCATCCTGTTTACATTACTGGAATTAATAACTTGCCTGATCGTGGAACCTGTTTACGCATAATTTATGGTATCCTGGTTGGTTTAGCGAATTATTGTTTACACTTGAAATATTGGCTTGTTTACAAACACATGCACTATTGAATCAATTCAGCAGATGAAACTTTCTCAGATGGTATAGGCCTATCTATGATAATTACTGAATTAGACATTTCTATACAGTGTGCCATTTATAATCGTTCCATCATTAGAACATTGGTTTTTTTTTTACTTATTGGAAATATATGTTGTGTCATTGTGATTTGAATGCATTTCAATCTTCTGCATTATTCAGTATGCAAATCTGAGAAAATAAAATAAACAGAGTGCAATAGATTATCTACACTAAATGTGTCAAAGGGGTTATCGCTCAATTAACCTGTCCGCTGATCTACACATGTTTGTATGTTTGTTTTTTTATGAATCTGTGTTCAAGGTCAACTGGGTCACCACGGGATGTCAGCTGCAGTATCGTGGATTGTACTCTGGCCTCACCGGGGGGTTCTCGGGGAGTCTCTCCTAGCTATCCTCTCTGATCCTGGCTTTGGATGGAGTCCACCTGCAGTAAACTTCATTCTCTGTCCAGCCCATGAGGAATGTTCTTTTGCTTGTGCATTTTATCATCTTTTCAAAGAAATAAGACCAGTACACTATTTTATGTTCTACATTATTATTTTTATATAGCCTTAATTAAATTATGCTCAGCTCAGAGCTATATAAAGAGTCGTGTACTGCTCCTTACAATACTTTGCATATCCACTTTAGACCAGTTAACAATTTAAAGAATGTTTAACACAGTTTCTCTAATGATTCGAAGATATCAATGAAGTTGATAATCATTTTTTGCAGCATTAGAAACAGGGAACATTTGGTAATTGCCATATATCTGAAGACATGTTAAGTATATTTACTAGCTGCCTTACATATAATTCTTAAGGGGCATTATTATCCCTATAAGGAAGACTCGGCAATGTTAAAATGTATTTTTATGTTCAGCAAAATCCTTATTAGTAGGTTTTGCAACATTCAATATATCGTTTCTTTTTATGCTATAAGTAGAAATATTGGGAGAAAAATGGTTCAGAAAAAAAAAATAAAAAATAAAAAAAAAATTAAAAAAAATCTGAATCAGGGAAATGTTTTTAATATTGCAATCAATGTCAATTATATTTTCAATATATTGTTTCACTTGTACAATGTGCAGTAGAAACTTCGGTAATGTTTTCTATATTTCTTTTAAAATATTAAAGTACTATTTTCAACAGTACTATTTTCAATTTAGTATGAACATTAAGAATATGTTTAAGATACCTGTGAAAACATTCAATATATTGTTGCAATATTGGTGGAAACATTCAGTATAATTTCGATTAGTTTTGTTTTGTTTTTTGTGAATGTTTAAGGTTTTGATGGAAACATTCAGTGTAATGATTAAAAGTTTTCCTGGAAATTAAGTATTTTATTTCAAAATTTTGGGAACACATTCAGTTCAATGTACCATTGTTTTTGTGCAAACATTCAGTATAATGTTTTAAAGTTTTTGAAGATACATTCAGTATGCTTCATTGTCTTTGTGACAACATTCATTGTAAATAATATTTCAAAGTTTTTGTCTTAAACATTCAGTATAATGTTTCAAAGTTTGTGTCGAAACGTTCATTATGATATTTCAAGTTTTGTGGAAACATTAAGTATAATGTTTCAAGTTTTTGTGGAAACATTCAGTATAATGTTTCAAGTTTTTTTTGTGTAAGCATTTAGTTTAATGTTTCAAGATTTTGTGGAGGCATTCAGTATAAAGTTTCAAAGTTGATGTTAAAACATTCAGTTTATTGTGTCAAGTTTGTTTTGGAAACATTCAGTATAATGTTTCGAGTTTTTGTGGAAACATTCAGTATAATGTTTTTTGGTTTTTTGTGGAAAAATTCAGTATATTGTTTCAAATGTAATGTGTAAGCATTCAGTATAAAGTTTCAAGTTTGTTTTGGAAACATTTAATAGAATGTTTCAAAGTTTTTGTGAAAAATATTCAGTATCATGTTTCATAGTCATGTATTAGTGTTTGTGGAAACATTCAGTACAATGTGTCAAAGTTTATGTTTAAACAGTCAGTATAATGTTTAAATTCTGTTTTGGAAACATTCAGTACAATGTGTCAAAGTTTATGTTGAAACAGTTAGTATAATGTTTGAATTCTGTTGGAAACATTCAGTATAATGTTTCAAGTTTTTATGGAAACATTCAGTATAATGTTTCGAAGGTTTTTTGGAAAACATTCAGTATAACGTTTCAAAGGTTTTGTGGAAACATTCAGTATAAGGTTTCAAGTCTTTGTTTAAACATTCAATATAATGTTTCAAAGTTTTGTGGAAGCATTCAGTATAATGTTTCAAGTTTTGATGGAAACATGCAGTTTGATGTTTCAAAGTTTTTGTGGAAACATTCAATATAATGTTTCAAAGGTTTTGTGAAAACATTCAGTATAATGTTTCAAATGTTTTATGGAAACATTCTGTATAATGTTTCAAAGGTTTTGTGGAAGCATTAAGTATAATGTTTCAAGTTTTGATGGAAACATGCAGTTTGATGCTTCAAAATTTATTGTGGAAACATTCAGTATAATGTTTCAAAAGTTTTTTGAAAACATTCAGTATAATGTTTCAAATGTTTTATGGAAACATTCTGTATAATGTTTCAAAATTTTTGTGGAAACATTCAGTATAATGTTTCAAAGGTTTTGTGGAACATTCAGTATAATGTTTCAAGTAGTGTAGGTGGAAACATTCAGTATAATGTTTCATATTTTATGTTTATAATGTTTCAAATGTTTTATGGAAACATTCAGTATAATGTTTCAAAGGTTTTGTGGAAACATTCAGTATAATGTTTCAAGTCTTTGAGGAAACATTCAGTATAATGTTTCAAAGGTTTGTGGAAACATTCAGTATAATGTTTCATAGTGTTTGTGGAAGCATTCGGTATAATATTTAAAGCTTGTTTCAGAAACATACAGTATAATGTTTCAAACTTTTTATGGAAACATTCAGTATAATGTTTCAAAGGTTTTGTGGAAACATTCAGTATAATGTTTCATAGTCACGTATTAGTGTTTGTGGAAACATTCAGTATAATGTTTCATAGTTTGGTATAATGTTTAAAGTTTGTTGTAAAAACATGCAGTATAATGTTTCAAATTTTTTATGGAAAAATTTAGTGAATGTTTCAATGGTTTTGTGGAAACATTCAGTATATAGTTTCAAAAGGATTTTGGAAATATTCAGTATAATATTCATAGTGTTTGTGGAAACATTTAGTATAATGTTAATCATATCAGTAGAAACATTTTGTTTCATATTTCAATTTGATGAGGAAAGAACTTTCAGTATTATGAGAAACTTAAATAGATATTTCAATAATTCTTTTCATGCTGTACATGTAGCATGTCATCAAGACTGTTCTGAAAAGCTCAATGTAAATTGTTTCTCATTTTGTTTGGGTTCCAGTATCTAAATATTCGTAGGCTTTAGTAGTGCATTACACTCATACACTATTTACCATGGTATTCTGTTACTTGTAGCAGTACATCGATGCCAAGGGCCAACCTGAACTATAAAGGGATCAACACCTAACCTCAGTACCAACCAAGGCACATAATGGAGAGGCAATGTACCCTACAAATTTCAGATGGCGGAAATTGTGCATTATTGGAACGTCATCCCAGCTGCAAAATTGTTCAACAAAAATCCTAAAGGAACAAATGCCCCCAATGACCTAATCACAGTGTCATGGAAAATCTTGGTCCCAAAAATAAAAATGCTGAAACAGTGCTCTCAAATGGAACCTAAATGCGGATATATGATCAAGCGATCAACAAGGTCATTCAAGAAATTTAGACCCTGTTGTTTGTGGAATAAAGACAAGGGAAGTCACGTTTATTATATACATGTACCAATTCTGCGAGTTCAAGAAACCGCGACTGTGTCAGACGAGGAGAAAACGTGAAAATTAAAACCGTGAAATTAATCCCCTATACAGTATTCTGGACATGATGTCAGCTTCATAGTAAACTGTTGGAAAATGATGCCACCAAAGATTGAAACCCACACCATCAGGAAGGGCAAGCTACACACTTAAAATGCTCAAGCTCCTCTTATGGATTCTATGTTGATATCTGTGTTGAATGGCAAATATCATTTTCTCCAACATGTACTGCCAAGGAACATCATATATAGAGTAGTCAGCACCTGTCATTCATCTAATGTGTAAATAAGATTTGGCAATGTATTAGCTTCTTATGTAACATTAATTGTTCTATCATTAATTTTGTAAATCTGGTCATTAGTCCAGTAAAGTGTTTATCAAATATTCCACAATGTATATCCTCTATAGTCATCAACTCTGTATAACTCAGCTCAATTTTAATGTCTTCATAATCGGCAATGTATTAGCTTCTTATGTAACATTAATTGTTCTATCATTAATTTTGTAAATCTGGTCATTAGTCCAGTAAAGTGTTTATCAAATATTCCACAATGTACATCCTCTATAGTCATCAACTCTATATAACTCAGCTCAGTTTTAATGTCTTCATAATCGGCTTACTAATATCAATGAGTTCAGCATTGAAACTTGCCTGCATAGTCTTTGAGCTACATGTAAGATGACGGCTACTCATTTAAATTGTATGTTGAAATCTGCCCGCATAGACTTGAGTTAAGATACATAGTTCAGCAGAGAGCTGCTTATGTAAATTGTGCTTCAAAATCTGCTTGCATAGTCTTGAGTTAAGATACATTAGTTCAGCGGATAGCTGCTCATGTGAATTGTGCTGCAAACTCTGCTTGCATAGTCTTGAGTTAAGACACATGAGTTCAGAGGATAGCTCCTCATGTAAATTGTTTGTTACAATCTGCTTGCATAGTCGAGAGTTAAGATACATGACTTCAGCGGATAGCTGCTCATGTAAATTGTATAATAAAATCTGGCTTGCATAGTCTTGAGTTAAGATACATGGCTTCAGCGCATTGCTGCTCATGTAAATTGTGTGTTAAAATCTGCTTGCATAGTCTTAGCTCAAGATACATGAATTCAGCGGTTAGCTGCTCATGTAAATTGTATGTTAAAAACTCTGCCTGCATTGTCTTGAGGTTAGATTAAGACCTACCTAATTTTACATATATACTAAACATTCCTTGCAGTGATTTTGGCTTCTCTTGATCCACAATTGAACAGCTAACAGGTGAATGTTAATGTCTTTGTTGCATCAGTACTTGTTATTTGTCAAGAACACCTAGTCTAAAATGTATGTGATATCATATGAACTTCAACTTCAATGTTGTTTTATATATTTTTAAAAAAAAAATACTTCAAAAAATGCTGTAAATTTCAGTATTTTTACTATTTTTATAAAAATGTTTTCTTTTGATTTTTCTCCTTGTTTGGCGTCAACCCCTCACTGATTGAGGGCTTGTGGCGCAATTGTTTGGACGCCTCCAAGGATTTACTCATTTATGTTATATTTTATGCATATTTACATGTACTCTGATATGTTCACTGCATGTAAATTTCTAGTCAGTCTCAGGGGGATCACACTTGTACCTTTCACCTGTGTACATGTAACCTGTATTGTTTAATATTAGATGATCCCCCTTAATGATTTGTTATACATTTTACGATATGTCATTGAATAAAATGACATATTCGACAAAACTGCATATCTGTATTTGGTTGTTTTTCACTGCACTTTCAGGCTGATATTTCTTATAGGAGGCATAAAACAATATTATCACAGATAATTCAATTTATGCCGCTTTGAGAAATATATTATATTTTACACCTAAGGATAATTCTGCATATCCCTGCGCAGTCTGCAGGATATGCGCCCTTATCGCAGCGCAATTATCATAGAACCTTTCATTGCGAAATCGCACCTTATTTTGCTTGACAGAGTTATCCAATCAAAATCCTTGATTTTGTTGCGCCATTTTTGTTAGCCTGGCAGTGCATTGAAGAAAAAAACCCACCACCCACCCTTTTTGGGGTTTTTGGTTTTATATTATTTTGCATTTTAGTCCAGATTTGTATTTTTCTAACTAACTTGTCATATGTTTCTTGATTGGCTCAATTGTTTGAAAGCCCCCAAAGATTTAATCATTTATGTTATATTTTATGCATATTTACATGTACTCTGATATGTTCACTGCATGTAAATTTCTAGTCAGTCTCAGGGGGATCACACTTGTACCTTTCACCTGTGTACATGTAACCTGTATTGTTTAATATTAGATGATCCCCCTTAATGATTTGTTATACATTTTACTATATGTCATTGAATAAAATGACATATTCGACAAAACTGCATATCTGTGTTTGGTTGTTTTTCACTGCACTTAAAGGCTGATATTTCTCATAGGAGACATAAATAATATCGCAAGCTACCCACAGCCCTGCATTCGACTTTCTCTTAAAGTCACCTTTAATGTCTTCAAAATAAACCCAGTAAGGTGAAGCAAATCCTATGATATGAAGAACCAATGCAAGTGTTTGAAGAACAGATCCGATGATGAAAAATTTCGAGACGTCCCCACACAACGCCATCTTCGAATACGACTGCTGTAATCTATGTATAAATGATGAAACATGCTTTTTATACGTTATACGAGGGTCATTCAAAAAGTTCGTAGACTTTTGTCATAACTTTTTTATTTAACGTCATATTTAAACCAAAATTGGTACATATATTTTAACAACAGATTCAAATATTTTGAGCAAAGAAATTGGAATATATCTTGATGTTTGTCAAAATTATCAAAGATTTAAGACAGCAAAAAACGGGGTCACGGAGCAGGGTCAAAATTGAGTTATTGACTGATTATTCACTTTTCATATCTATAGCCATACCTCTTTAAAATTGTCCTTAAATGAAATAAAATTTATATACTTAAATTTACTATTGTTTCATTTCTTCAAAAGCAAAAAGTTAATGTAATACATTGCTTTGTTTAAAAGATATCCATTTCTTTAGACAGATAGTCTTGATTTCAAAAAGCAAAAAATCATGACGTTGAAGGACGTCACGGAGCAGCGAGTAGCAATATAATTTTGTTTTGCATTTGGAAACTTTTAAAACAAACTCCGAAAATGCTGGAGAGACCAGGAAAAATACATAAAATGAGCCGTGTATTTGTTTATAATAAATCAGACATTTTTTGAGGGGTAAAGACTTTAAATTTGGCGATGGGCATTCTGCAAAAAAACAGATTATAGTTCAAAATCTTTTCAAAAGAGTTAGTAACGTCATGAAACGTGATGAACACTTCACTGTTGCGGAACCTGTAAGAGCAGAGTTACATGGTAAAGGATTTAAAAACATTGACAATCTTATTCAAATTATACTCAAATTATTGATAGCATACTAGGTGTCAAGTGTTGTGGAAACGTTTAAATGAATGAGGAATACGATACGAACCATGTATAAAATGAAAAGGCACTGTGAGTTTGAGAAATGTTCTTTAACGTTGTTTTTGACTTTACACTGTTTTTGACCGTGCTCCGTGGCGACAAAACATGTTACATTTAAAATTGTCTAGTATGAGTTCCGTTTAATCAAATAGAATGATACTTCAGATTTAAAAATGTACTGATATTAAGATTTGTAAAATTAATGTGACGATAAGGAACATTGTCTACGTATTTTTTGAATGACCCTCGTATGTATGACGTTATTTCATGTAACTTGCAGATGGATATACATAAATGCATGTCTTACAAATCCAGAAATTTTATATTTCCTGTTTTATAATTTAGACATTTCGTTATGATTATCTTCTGAAAAATGTTAAATTTTCATATTAAATTTTTATTATAACATGAGCTTCAAAAATCACACATTCAAAACAAACCAAACATTTATTTGAATAAAAAACCTTTTAAATTAATAGTTTTCCTTATTACATTACTATCTATAAAATAGAAAAAGCTGATAATTTTTTTTTACCAAGTAAGTATATTTTTCAAGGAAATAAAGTATACAACTATGCAAGGTACTGGCAAACAAGTTGATTAAGAAGATATAAACAATCTCGTTATAAACCTACTTTTCTTAAATTCTATGATGGATACTATGATTTTTTAAATCACAATTTCAGACAATTATGCACACTGAATATCTACGGATTTTCTGTTTGTTCAATCATTACAAGGAGAACACGTGGAAGATGCTTACTTCTTCATTATACCTTATCCCTCTGTAATATTTCTGGAGGTCCATGTTTACTCTGCTTCTAAATCGTATAGTTTCAATTATTTTTTGAGAGTGATTAGAGTATGTTATCACCAGATTTCATTTGTAAAAGAAAGAGCCACTTATACAGATGAAACAATTTTATTGAGTATTCAATACCTTTGCAAATAGTGGACAATTTTTAAAATGATTTTTGAAACTTTTATCTTCAGTGTTCAATATTTTCTGTTGCATGACATATGTCTATATAATTTCAAGATTATTATACATTCTCCCATCCATATGCTGGCACTATTCGAGATTGTATTATTCAGAAAATCATTTGATAAAAATAAAACACATTACAAAGAAATAAACAAAAGAAGAAAAAGAAGAAATACAAACAACACACTAGAAAACACTCAGGCACGTAGCATGGGGCCTGACCCCCACTTTTTTCCCAACCTTACTTTTACTATTAGAAATGTTGATTGAAAGGCTGGTACCCCCGCACCATATACTACTTTGTCAGTTAAGTCAAAAAAAATTTCTTTGGCTGCCCCCCCCCCTTTCAAAACGATGCTACGTGACTGACACTGAAGCCAATCTAAACAACAGATAAAAAGAGAAAAAAAAATTAATGTATCAAAAGCAATTAGTGGGGAAAACAATACACTAGATTAAAGTAATTAAGGGGTCTTTGACATTAAAATAGCTTCAATAAAAGTATATTGTAGGACTAGATATAAAACCGATTTTACAACCGTCATGCCGTGTCTTCCATTAAATCTCAAGGTGCGTATCAGCTTGTATAATGAGCTGATAAAAATACTTAAAACTTAAAGCTATTTATCTGAATAAATATGCTGGGATTGTCTGTGGTGATTATTTGCTGAAATACGGAATTTGCTGAGGTTTTGCTGATATCTTTTTTAAATATTTATTAAATCTCTAATTTTTTTCACATTATATCATTTTTTAAAAATATAATAATAGAATTTTTTTTATTATCGAAAACACATTTATAAAAGCAAATTTAATTGATTTGGTGAATAATAATAAAAATAGTGATTTACAATAAATAATTGAAAAACTATTATTAGATATTTTATTCTTTAAAGACATAAAGAGTGCAGTCTATTTCATATTTGGTCTTGGAAACTTTTAAAACTGAATAAAACTTGTAAAGAAGAATACGTCAGATTAGTTTTCCTAATTCAGCAGCACTGGGGTATATAAACCTCCGCATCATAAGAATTGACTGATTTTACCCCGTCATTTCAGTGTGTAGTAGAAAGCTGTGCTTTGTCAACTTCCACTATCTGTATTATTTATGAGTTTTTTCACCGAGCTCTACATTATATGAGTAATGATGGTCTAACCTTTGAAGAATTAATTTAAGTACACTTGCATGCATGTAAATCCATACAAATGATAGTCATTTTTTCTTTCTTAAATTAAATATTTAGTAATTAACTTCTTACCTTCTTGTGAAAGCTCACGAAGAGATGCTAGAGTAGTAGAGTAGCACAATAGTGACGAAAAGACACCGGAAATATCCAGGAGAAGTTCTATATATGCAAAATCTGACCAGAAGTCATTTATCTTCTTTAATTAAGAAGTTCATATACATGTAACGTTTACTAAATCAACTATTAAATTGGTTCAAATGGAGAAGATCAATGTGAAATTTACAACTAACCTTAATTATAATTTGTGTCTGTAGTTATCTTATCGCTTTCCTTCATCCCATTTTTTGAAAATGAAATCTACAAATTATTTTCTTTGTATTTGATAAACTTTTTAACTTATCAATTAAAGAGCAAATAAAATTTAAAAGATTTGAAAAGGTCCTGATTTCTGTGAAGAACGAAGAACAGGTCAAATACTTTCAATACAATAAAAGTATCTTATAATTTTGACAATAGGTCACTTTATTTAGAATATTTTTTTAATTCATTTTTGCATTTGTCCAAAAATGAGTGTTTTTTTTTTTTTTTTTTTTTTTAAATATTTCCATTCCTTGTAGTCATATATTTTGAATAATTCCTTCCATAAGTTTAAAATAGTTATAATTGCAATTTTATTATCCTTATGAAATCCAAAGGAATATATATAGCTTTGATTTATTCCAAAGGAAAAAGTGTATTGACATGCATAATATGAGCCATTTATCTATCATTTTCAGATTTGATTATTTTGAAGAGTATATTGTTTTTGCTAACTTCATTAGAATTTTCAAAGCCTATTCGTTAATTTCAAAAGTGTACCGTTACAATATAATGTGTGTATTGATCTATCAATTTAAATTTTTAAATAAGCAACAATCTTTTAATCAGTAAATATTTTAAACTAAATGTTGCTTTATCGACTTTTATCAATTTGTTAATAGGTGTTTTTGGATAAGTTTGTGTAAATATTATATAATTGTTATTGCAGTCGTTTTAAGACAAGAGACATGAACTTTACGGAAATACCCAGTGGTGTTTTTAGAAAATATAGGATATGACCTGGTACGATGTTTACATTTGATCAGTTGTGGGTTTGGCTAAATTTACTTTAATAAGACAGTTTTGTGTAGTTGTATACATGTTCGAACATATTGAAATTGTTACCGAGTTAAAACAGATACTTTATTTTATCTTTGTTCAACTAGTAATTTTATTTCGATCATGAAAATAATCATGTCCCATTTTCTGAAAATTTTCTCAAAATTAAGAACCACACTGAGAGATATTTGTGAGACAAATGAAAAAAAAAGAATTCCTGAGGATCAAACTCATTAGTCTGAAATACATTCATCTGATTATGTTCATACAGGTCTAGTTTTGTAATTTTAAAAAGTGGACTGTTGTAATTAATGTGTATGTTGTTCTATCAATTTGATACAATCTGTTAAGCAATAAATCTTAAGAACTAAATGTTCTTATTTCAAATTGTTAAAAAGAGGTTTAATTTTTTTGAAAGTGATGTAAAATTGCGATTAAAGTGTTTTTTGACGAAAAACATAGCGCAGGGGCGGATCCAGCAATTTTTGAAAGGGGGGGTTTCAGGGTTGTGTCCCTCTAACCCCCTCCCCCCTTACACACTCTCAGGCAAAGATTCACACACACATGTATGGAAAAATATAAGATTGTGGAAAATAATATCTTCGTTCTACGTCCTTTTTTCTTTGAAAAAGGTACCCCCAGTCCGTATAAAAAAAATCAATACATTTAAAACTACTGAAGCCTTATAATTGAATGGATTTGCAGCATTTCCGAAGAGTAGAATGAATTTTCTTAAAGAATTTGAAAATCCTTTTTGGGTTGGGTGTAAAACAAATTTTAGTTCCTTCATGAGATTTAGTTTTAAAAAATGACACCTTCTTGTATATAGCTAACACAGCCAAATTAAGATCGCGGGAATCTAATATCAAATTTAACCTCGCATGTTACATATCATATGATATATAAAAATAAGTAGAATGTTTTCTACCATTCACTCATAAAAAGTAATGGTGAAGGTGAATTTAAAAACTAAATGTGTGAGAATCTATCTATTCAATACATATTAAGGTTAGACGTACAAATGCTTATTCTCGGGAAACGTTTTATCCCCCTTCTTTCTCTCTCTTTTTCCACTTGGCAAAAAATAAAGGGGGGGTTCCAACCCCCGGAACCCCCCCTCTGGATCCGCCGATGTAGCGGAAATACTCAGGAAAGATTTTAGATAATGTAGGATGTGATTAGATACGATCTATGCATTTTATCATTTGTGGGCTTGGATGAAATAACTTGTATAAGGACAGTCATGTGTGATTGCATACACGTTGCATACACATTGAATCGTTCCAAAATTAACACAGATATTCTAATTTGTCTTTGTGCAGTTAGTAATATTATATCTCTCATAAAAATATATATGTCCCATTTTCTGAAAACGCAACCTTGCTGAGAGACATTTATGATATAAAAAAAGTCAAACGAGCATGAGAGAAATTTTGTTTAATTCAGTAGAAGATAAAAATGGGTAATTTGCATCGTTATACCTAAAAAAAATTGTGTAATATTTTAAATGATTTCTTTGCTTTTCAATAATCCAACAATTCCTGTGTTCTTGTGTAAAATGAGTTTAGTCGTCCCCTTCGATTAATTTGGTTTGTATGGTTCTTGGGTCCGACAAAACGACGCAGGATTTTCGAACCCAGTCAATAAATAAATTTAAGTTTACTTAAAATTTTTTATTGTAATCAATAAGTGTCCTCCTTGAATGTGAAAGTCTGAAATACTGTATAGCTGTGCTTTGTAATGGTAATTTTGTTCCATGTCTTGCCGTGGTAGGAGAGGCAGAGATTGACCAATCAAAATCTAACAAATGAAATTCTGACCATGCGGTGCGTTACTCTGCCTTTTCTCCCATCTACATCCTTGGAGGACGGACGTTGTTTCAAAGTTTGTTATTTATTTTATCAAGATTTTGGTGAGTAAAATTATTTCATTATGTCTTCTATGAGTAAAACTTCAGTTGTCATTCTTGGACACTCAATTGTGCGTCGTTTTCATGAATTCTTGAAATATGGTGACATTAGGTATTCTGCAAGCCTTGGTCTTGGAGAAACGCATTCCGTTTTGTACAGGGGTGTGGGTGGAAGAAAGGTTCGTGATGTAATATCTAAGGATATGGAGAGCGTGTTTGCTTTAGGTCCAGATGTAGTTGTTCTAATGATTGGGGAGAACGATATTAGTCCTAGTACCGACGCTACCTTGTTAGCTGCAGAAATTGAATCTGTGGTATCGGTAATGCATCGCCGCTATAAAGTTGCAAAAATAATTGTTTGTAAATTATTGCCACGATTTGGTGTTCGTTTTGGGTACAATAATATTGCAGACAAAGTAAACGCAATATTGAGAGATGCATTGCCAGCACTGGGTTACTGCGTATTTTGGAAACATGGGAATTATTTCGTTTCTCCCCGTGAAGGAGACTGCAGTCGTAAATTTGTTCACGACGGAGTTCATCTGAACAGTCAGGGGAATGTTCATTTATATAGGAGTATAAGGGGAGCTTTAATTTCAGCGAGAAAATAGATATATTCTAAGTCATAAAAGTTTGTCACCATGTTGTTACTTATATTGTTCGTCAATTTTTCAGACAGATATTCTTTGAAATTATACAACATTTTGTTATTTTATATACAGTACGATAGGCACTTAGGATGTCTAATAATGTATACCAGTATTAACAGATTTATCTTTTTTTCTGTGAGGAAAATTCGGTTGGAAAAAGTATCAGCAAATTTGTTTGTTTTGTTGTTAGTTTAATTTTTACAGTACTTTAGGCAGATCCTAAGTACAAGTTTCAGGCAGTTTTTTGTACTTGCCAAGTTTCAACCCATTTGGGTTTTTTCATTTTAGTTTCGGCTTTTACCATGCAGACGGCGATTTTTTCCATCGTTTTTTATTTGATATCTAGGAATGTATTTTAAAGCATTCCAGATTTATCCTTTTTCTGTGAAGTAAATTCGTTGGAAGAATGTCTGCCAATTAGTTTGTTTCGATATTAGTTGATTACTAAAATATTGTGAATTTTTACAGTACTTTAGGCAAGTCCTAAGTACAAGTTTCAGGCAGTCTTTTGTACTTGCCAAGTTTGTACCCACGGTTGAAAAGCGGGAGGATATATAGTAATCGGGATGTCCGTCTGTCCGTCCGTCTGTTACGCTTTGGAGTACTCATCTCTTAGTCGCAACTCTATTTATACCACTGAATGAAATTGATGAGACTTTCAGAGAATCTTTATCATATAATGTCATTATGCATCTCCTATTTTACTTTTTTGACAATACACATATTTTGGGTTTCTCATAGCAAAACATGGACACTGCCATAATGATTATATTCATTAAGGGGTTAGTTTTTCATTTAGTGAGCTCATTTTTCACAGTAAGGCATATTTATGCCACCATATCAAAATAAAGAAAATTGCAGTTGGATTATTAAATTTCGGGGGGGGGGGGGGGGGGGGGGTTCTTGTTAAGAATTTAGTTTGGCTAACACTACACTTTCCTCCTTCAAACTTTGTGATTAAGCTTATACAGAAAAGCTGAAATCACACATTATATCAATATATTATTTTAAGCAATAGAAAGTTAGACATGATTTGCTGATAGTTATTTTTAGCTGATAAATTCTATCATGGTTATTTTTATCCGATATATTATATCATGGTTCACTGTTTATATTTTTGGAATTCAGTAGGAGGGTACGGAAGCCCATTGGTGCCACGTGCGAAAAATATTTTATCTGGCGGCCGCCACAAAATTATGTGGCGGTCGCCACTTATTATTTGGCGGCCGCCACTTATATATCTGGCGGCCGCCACTTCATATATGGCGGCCGCCACATAATTTATATTGTGGCCGCCACATAGTTTTTCTGGCGGCCGCCACATATTTTTCTGGCGGCCGCTATATAATATCTGGCAGCCGCCACATATTTTTCTTGCGGCCGCTATATAATATCTGGCGGCCGCCAAATAATTTATCTGGCAGCCGCTATATAACATCTGGCGGCCGCCACTTATTTAACTGGCGGCCGCCACTTATATATCTTGCGGCCGCTACATAATATTTGGCGGCCGCCACATAATTTATATGGCGGCCGCCAGATAACACCTGGCTTCCTAAATCGCTCGCATGTTTTAATGTGTGGTTTAAGAGGTGGATACAGTGTAAAAATTATAATAGCAACATCAATCAACCAAACTTGTAAGAGATTTATTATGAACCAACACTCCAATCCACACTTCTAATAGATATGTTTTTGCATAGAGCAGATTAATATTTGATTTGAATTATGCAAGTATTTGTAGAGTGTTTCGATTATTAAGAAGCCTCATCAAGGGTCACGGACATAAATCATGGTGTTTGCTGTACGCTATGATTGGTTGAGAATTAAATGAAGTTTTGCATTTTGGATTTCCAAGAATGGTGTTCCAATATTTCAGAATTCGTTTTTTATCATTTACTTTTTTATCAATAAGCAGCGGTTTTGTCAACATCCATCTTCTTAACCCAATAACACTCACCTTTTGCAAAATAATTTATGTGGCGGCCGCCATATAAATTAAGTGGCGGCCGCCAGATATATATGTGGCGGCCGCCAAATAATAAGTAGCGGCCGCCAGATATATATGTGGCGGCCGCCAGATAAAATATTTTTCATACGTGGCACCAACGGGCTTCCGTAGGAGGAGGAGATGGCTGGAAGGTTTCAAGACAATGGAGGGTCGTTCATACTAATTATACTTTTGGAAACGTCACTTCCGGTATTTATCATTCAGAAACTAAAATTTCTTTAAAGCCTTATACTTTCCTTATTTTACATGCAATTTCGTTCAAAATTTAGGAATACATTTTGGGTTGTTTTTTTTTTGGGGGGGGGGGGGGGCATTCCTATGCTTAAAGTAATCATTGTTATTCAAATGAATAAGCCATGGCTGTAAAGTGTACGTAAAGTGTGTGATTAAAGTTTTGTCCAAATAGACGAAGATTGTGACATATGGTTTCAATGCTCTTATTCAAATGGTTTAACGACACATCAAATATTCTTAACATTTTTCAAACTCAAAAAAATACTTTCTAAAAAAATCCTGATATTAATATAATGATAATTGAGTTCTTCTTTTAACTAAAGCAGACTTCAATTCACGTTTTTTCTCAGCGCCCAACAATTGACGTGTAGGAAGATCTCTTTGCTATGTCGATGATCATACAAATCCCAGCAATAGCCGAGAGAACGATGGAAACTGCACAGAAAGCAAAGGCAAAACTGAATTTGAAAAAAATGTTTTTCCCCCATTCGTGGTATTTTTCTGCAAAAACTGCAATGGACACAATGTTGCACACAGCTGAAACAAAACAGATGTTTTGTTAAACTAAAATTCTATTTGACTTTTATCCTAATAGAAAAAAACCCCGAAAGGTCTACATGAAAAACAAAGACCTGTGGTATCTATCTTGATTGTAATATAAATATATATATACCGCTTATAAAGGAGAAGATGATTGCCATGATCAACACCAACACTCTGTCATTTAAACGTATCTTTAGGATGGCAGAAACAAGAGCAATGGCCGACGTGAAAATCCCTAGCAACCCAAATGCTCGAACTGCTTTAACCCAATCTACATCAAGAAATGCACGGAAATTAAAAAAAATATATATATTTATGAAATTCTTGAATTTTAAAAAAAATGATTAATTGCTTTGTAGCATATTTATCAATTATCTTCATAGAATATCATTTTTTAATTTATCAATTGTTACCTTCAACATCCGGATACTCAGAACATCTACTTGATTTGATGAGTGTTGAAGAATAACAAAATTTCCAGAGACCACAATTGTAATTCCCCTCACTGGTCTCACCATAAATCCAATATGGCGCAGCCACGCCTATAACGTCTAGTATTAGGGCCGTGAGCAGGAATAAGCAGCCAAATACGTAGAAGACGGAATTGCCTCCACATGACATTTTAGTGTTTTATATTACCCTGTTATTAAGAAAAAAATAATGTAAAATACATGCTTCATTCATTTAACTTATTTAGAGTAAATAATTGCTTTAAGTATTTTCACCATATTACATGTGTTTCCCAAAACCCTGTAAAAAGTACATGTATTACCCAGGCTTACATATAGAAATTAAAGACAGACATTTCCATATTCTGTATTTTTTTTACTTGTATTCAAAGCCAAATAAAAAAGGCTTTTGTATAAACCAAAAAGTACTATATGACAAAAAATAGAACATTGAAACTGTTAATTTTTCAAGTAATAAACAATAAAATAACAAATGAATGTAAATGAATAGTTGAATAGTAAAGAAAAATTACCTTTAGGTCGTTCTATAAAATATTCATTCACCCTCTTGAATGGAGTAAAAATGATTATTTTTTAATGTCACAGGTTTTATATATTTCCTGGCGTAAAACACTTATTTAAGTATGCTCAGTATCACACGTGATGTTAATATTCTTTTCTTTATAAATTATATTGTTGACAAAAATCAATTCATATATGTATTACTCACTCAAAAAAAATTGGACAGTTTACAGCGAGTGACTTGTAAAAACCAGTCTGTATTTAAATAATTTAGAAAAAAAATTGGAAGTCAATACAGAAATCGGAGACATTCACACCCCCCCCCCCCTTCCTCACCTTGGAATTCTAAAACAACAATGTAGATAATTATTGTTTATCCTTATGACAATGTATTTTGATCATCATAACGGCTGTAAAATTTGATAAACAGAAATTGTACATCTTTTTTTCAATCCCACAAATTATACACCTTTATAAAATTAGAAATTAATGGCATGTTTTACACGTCTTGTGTTGCAAATTAAATAAAAAGTAAACAAAAATACATTGGTGAATGTATAAGGGTGGCATAAGAGTTTTAAATTTTCAACGATCAATCGGCAAATGAGGATATGAATTCAATATAAGCTACAATTCTTAATTTTGTGGTTAACATTAACATATATATGGAAGCGCAATAGTACAAACCAAAAATAAGTAAAAGCAACCTTATTAAATAAAGAAAGAATAGAATATATATATACATGTATATACATGTATGTAATAAAATTAAAAAAGAAAGAGTTAATGCATTAGCGTCTGAAGCAAAGTGAAAGTGGGGAGGGGGGTAATTAAGAGAGAAAAATATTAAAACCTATAGAAAAAATTGACAAGTTGGGGGATAATGTTGGTAAGATTGATTTTTTTTAATACCAACTTTTTTTTCATAAGCGGGGAGGGGAGGCTTTCGATCAACCCCTTACCTACCCACCCACCCCACCCCCACGCCCGAATGAAATGGTAATGACTTGGAAGTAATATTTAGTTTTTTATTAGGGGAAAGTGTTTTACTCATAATTGTCCATATGTAAAGCATGTGTGTATGACACCTTTTTAACAACTTATTTATGATTATGCTAATATATTTCTAGTGTTCACATTGTCTCTTGAACACATTACAGGAAATTCATGCTTATCATTTGAGTTCCGTATTTCATATTATGAAAAAACATCATGCGATTTCAGAATGATATTATTTTAGCAAAGAAATCATGTGATTTCAGAATATCATCTCATGGAGAAATGTGATTAACTGTATATAATGCTTTATTTATTATTTAACAGAGGCCTTTTTATGCACAAACATATAAATAAGCGTTAAATATCTAATCCATGACGTCATACATGTAACTGTTGTTAAAATACTTTGAGAATGTAAACATAACGTTTCTTGGAAGATATGGTGCTCAGTTATTTTTAAAAAATTGTTTGATTGCCCTTTCCCGACCGACTGACTAGTAATGGTCCGGCTGAAAACTATATTTTTAACCTACAGGAAGCAATATTCTTTTAACGTACTCTGGAAAATAGAAAATAGAATTTAGAAAAATTAGCATTGAAATGTTCTAAGAAAAAAATACACGTAATATTTTCAGATTGAGTCGGGAGAGGATAAACAAACATTATTCTAAAGTTGGTCTTATATTCAAAGCAAATAAACTCAGTAGATCTGTCATGAAGTTTTGTTATTAACTACTAAAGGTTTAAGAAATGAGGTGAACCCTCAATTTCTTAAAGAATTCCTTGCTCCCCGTGCATTGAAGAAAGATGATGGTCACAGATATCTTGATCTAATCCAAGTATAAAAACCCATTTCACCACCTCTTGGAATACAACTGCCAACCTGACGGCATTTCCTAGAGGGAGTTTGTTCGTTACACCGATGAGTAAATTGTGTGAATAAGGGTTATATATAAGGTTTTTTTTTCAGATTCAACGATTGAATATTTGCAAAAAAAAAACATGAATTCAATAATATTTAATTCATCTATTTTTGTTGGTGCTGTACCAGAGTAAAAAAAAACTAATATTGTAAATGTTTACATTGAGGGAAAGTTACTCATATTCATTTTATAAAGCATGTGATACTGACGTTCGATTTCTAAACAACGTGTTTATTATAATGCGGAAATAGTTCTAGTGTTCAAATTACAGTATAACCCAGCTGTTCATTGGACATAAAATTCCCTAATTCATAAGTACACGAAAAAACATCATGCTATTTCATAATGATAAAATTAAGGAAAGTGGTCATATGTGATTTCAGTATATGACTCACGGAAAAATGCGTTAAATGGTTTATAATGCTCTATCTATTATTTGACAAAGGTCTGTTAAAATATAAGAAGAAAAATATACTTGCGTATCCAAAAAAAGAGTTTATCTCTTTCTTACAAATCACACATTTGATATAATTATATTTCTGGTTCTCATTACATCTTGCTTTCTGTTATTGTATCTACACACATAAGAAATATGTCTATTAATGATTTATTCCACTTACATTTACTAAATATATTTTATGTATTAGTACACTGTTGATTTTACTTGTGCAAAATTTTTCACTGGAGTTTAACAGGTCTGGACGATTTCTAAATATGGAAGTCAAGAACGATAACTGAAAGTTGCTATAAATATACAACATGTACACGTAATTATTTTTCTGTCCAATCAGACAACAGCATTTTTACACATCCCAAAACATATTTTCAAAGAACAAAGAGATAACACGTGCTTTTGTTTTTTTCCTCAAAAAGATTTTTTTAACGAAAAACCTTTAGAAGTAAGATTAAAACTTTTGAAGAATACGGTATTCCACACATATTTACCGTGAACAACATTGACATTTTTATCTCGATAACGAAATAAAAAATAATGCATGATACAATGTAATTGTTTACGGAGGAATAAATCACACTAGCAAATTCTTATCAAGTTCAATTATGAAATTTACAAGAATAAACTATATGTTGGAATATAATTTTGCTTAGCCGTCCGATTTTCATCGATGATGCTTGAATTCCATGTCTATAGATCCATATGGAACGCCACAGCTGCCTGAAGGTCAATTTTTGATGATATGCAGTTGTTAAATCATTATATGATGTGGTTATATCATTATATGATGTTGTTAAAACATTATATGATGTGGTTAAATCATTATATGATGTTGTTAAAACATTATATGATGTGGTTAAATCATTATATGATGTGCCTATATCATTATATGATGTTGTTAAAACATTATATGATGTGGTTAAAATATTATATGATGTGGTTAAATCATTATATGATGTGGCTATATCATTATATGATGTTGTTAAATCATTATATGATGTTGTAAAATTATTATATGATGTGTAAAAATCTTTATATGATGTGGCTATATCATTATATGATGTTGTTAGAACATTATATGATGTGGTTAAGTGATTATGTGCGCTTGTGTATTCCTTATATGATGTGGCTATATCATTATATGCAGTGGTTACATCATTATATGCAGTGGTTACATCATTATATGATGTGGTTTTCTCATTATATGATGTGGCTACATCATTATATGGTGTGGTCACATCATTATATGATGTTGTATTTTTATATGATGTTGTTGTATGAGTCATTACCACTGAGGGCAGTTGTACCTGTAACCCAATACGACATTTAAAATTGTCTTTGGAATGTAGGCCAATTTACCCCTCCACTCTCAGATCTCGCTAACCCTTATCTGTCATTGAGTCCCTTCTAGGCCTGCTAATGAGCTTTGTATCATGGATGCGGTATTTTCCCTTTGAAGTTGCCTAAATGTTAAATCCAGTTAAAATGAAAGGGGTTGGAGCTTAAGTATGCGTTAACTTCCAATGCGATAACTTGTTATTGCACACTTTTAAAATAAAGACAAAGTGCTAAAAAACATTTTAATTTTTTTTTCACAAACCAACAAAAAAAAAAAAGGTTGACACATGTACTGTCATGTATGATTTAAACCAAATTTTTAAATTTTTCTGCATTAAGCCATGTCACAAGCGTTTGTCTCAAAAATTGAACGAAATTTTACAGTTTTCAAACTGAAACTTGTTGGTCAAATCCGCCATTGCCCTGTTGTCGATTTGTTTAGACGAATTGCTGCTAGAGGCCATAGACTGCAAACTCTCACAGACTTTTTCCAGCGTATTTTCAGCACACATAGGTTCTTGGTTATCATTTTCGTCATACGGTGTTTCCATTTTCATTGCTTTCGGCGCGGGTGGATCAAGTATTTTACTGACATTCTCTGCTACCTCTGGACATGATCGTTTGTACTTCCGCACTGCTCGCTCCGACCTATGTCCGGTTCGCTCCATGATCGCCTGTTCATCCATTCCAGCGCTGTACAACTGGCTAGCACAGGTGCGCTTTCCACTGTGGTTAGTAAAGTTTCCAACCAGACCCCCCTTTTTGCAGATGATTTTCATGAAGGTTTTAATCTTATTAACACCAACAACTTGTGCACCATATCGAATAGGGTTCCCTGCAAGTGGACGTCTGTAAAACTCTCCCTCGTTTCCAAGTGCATCAAGGTACTGATGAAAATAGTCGGCTATGCATCGATCTCCTTAAAACAAAATAACAAAAATAAATTTATATTCATCAATTTAGGTTGTAGTAATGTAAACAAAATCAATCTAAAGGAAAAATACCGTACCTGGTTGACAATAGTGCCGAATGTCTTTACTTTGCAGAGATAGATGGGCAAGTCCTCCCTTAAAAGTCTTGTTTGAACCGCCGCAAAAGTGGATGTATTTACCTCGCCCATCCTCACCAATCGTGACGTTTGCACATGTCAAGTCTCTATGCTCATCAAATCCCCGCAACCCGAATAATTTACACATGTAAAAAAACACTGTATACTGTAGCGTTTCCGCGGACTTGTTTCCCAGTACTTCTCTTTCCCAAAGCAGTTCTTCGTCTTCTTGAGTTATTGGATCTGCCTGTTTGACTTTAGTTCCCAGTCCTTTAGACAAGAGGGATTTCATTTGAGCATCCAGCGTTTTTCTAAACTCTGCAAATTTCAAGTCTGAAAAGAAATTAATGTCATGTCTCTTGTTGTCTCGTAAATACCTTAACAATCCACAAACTAGATAGTAGACCGACTTAGGTGGGTATTCACTTCCGTCCTTCTTCCGTGCGTCGCATACAAAATGTGTCAATGAATAACTCATAGTAGAAACATCCATGTGTAGAAGTTCCGGTACTGCAAGTTCAAAAGGCAGATTTTTGCTTTTTTCTTGGCGCCACTTTTCGAAAACCCCAAATGCCCAACGAGTATTTCTGTTTGTATTTTGATTTTCTTGACTAGAAATCAGCTTCTCAATTTCGTAATCAGAAATTCCCCCGAAACGCTTGGTCGACTCATCGCTGTTCGTTTCACTGAATCTATCGGTGGCACCTCCGTCCATGCCGTCCAAATTAAAATCCCCAAACAGATCGAGGTCCAGTGCATTCGCGCCTGTCGGGTTAATGTCAAAGTGGTTCATACCATCAATGAGTTCCTCTTCTTTTTCAATGGCATCACATATCTGTGATAGAGTGAAATCATCCTCGGCTATTGCTAAAAAGTCAATCTCATCAAAATTGATGGTGCCGATTTTGTCGTCCATTTTCTCTCGCTGTTATACTGGAAATGTCGTCTGCACACGAGTTGCGCTATACCACAATGCTTTGCGACGGTGGGCGGAGTTTATCAAGAAAATTCTAGACTTTTCTAGATATTAACTTGTTTCCGCTGCACTAACGCTATATAAGGAATGTAGGCGGAGTTATCCATGATACAAGTTATTTATAGAACAGTTACTCGTAATAACTTAATTTATCGTACATCCACATTGGCCGAGACTCGTTGCTGCGCAACTCGTCCCGCCCTAATGTGGATGTACGATAAATTAAGTTATTACTCGTAAACTGTTCTCTAAATATCACTTAATAATTCCTGTTTCCCATATTCGTAAGAATAGATTTATAGCATAGGTTGATAAAAAAGTTACATACAGACTTGATCGCATGCTTATTTTAAATTTGCTCATTTGTGTGATATTGTCTGCATAAACAAAGTATAAAATATCGCAAAAATTCCAATTGATCATTTTGTTAATTTAATAAGTTTTTGAAATACATTGTACATCTGTTTCATTTTAAATTAATGAGTTCCCCAGGAGTTACTGGAGATTGAGATGCACCTGTAACCTTATCTTGGTGAAAGCCAATTTAGCCCGATCTCTGAGTCTCCTAATACTGGGTTAACATGTTGACATTTATGTAATGGCAATATGTAATGCAACGGCTAGAGACAAGGAAGGGGTTTTAAGAATGGAGTCTGGAGTTGAATCAGATTTTGAATGGTTTATGTATTATGCCCCATTGGTCAGATAGATTTTGAAGTCTAACATCAAAATCATATAAAAATGAAATTCTTAAATGAAAACAAGAAATCGTACTTCCAATTTTGCTGAAAGATAAGTTTAGCGCTACTTGTTGAACCTCCAGTCCATAAGTTATATAATGCCGTTTAAAACAAAGCTATCTCCCAAACTCAGCAAACTTGGGTTTTATTTCACATTTTTAATTTAGTAAAATGTCTACTCCAAGTATGTCCAGCATTGATTCTGTATTAGAAGAATTGAAATTACAATATCCTACTGGCTGATTTCTGAGATCTGAGAGTTGAGGGGTAAATTGGCCTACATTCCAAAGACAATTTTAAATGTCGTATTGGGTTACAGGCACATTCCATTTCATTTTACTGCCCTCAGTGGTAATGACTCATACAACAACATCATATCAAAATACAACATCATATAATGATGTGACCACACCATATAATGATGTAGCAACATCATATAATGAGAAAACCACATCATATAATGATGTAACCACTGCATATAATGATGTAACCACTGCATATAATGATTTCACAACATCATATAATGGAATCACACAAGCGCACATAATCACTTAACCACATCATATAATGTTCTAACAACATCATATAATGATATAGCCACATCATATAAAGATTTTTCCACATCATATAATAATTTTACCACATCATATAATGATTTTACTACATCATATAATGTTTTAACAACATCATATAATGATTTAACAACATCATATAATAATAAAGCCACATCATATAATGATTTAACAACATCATATAATGATTTAACAACATCATATAATGATATAACCACATCATATAATGTTTTAACCACATCATATAATGATTTAACAACTGCATATCATCAAAAATTGACCTTAAGGCAGCTGTGGCGTTCCATAGATCCACTTGACACTTGTAAGTGTTTATGTATGGACTACACATAGTTTTTAAATATCACGGGTTTCTATGGAACGCCACAGCTGCCTTAAGGTCAATTTTTGATGATATGCAGTTGTTAAATCATTATATGATGTGGTTATATCATTATATGATGTTGTTAAAACATTATATGATGTGGTTAAATCATTATATGATGTTGCTAAAACATTATATGATGTGGTTAAATCATTATATGATGTGCCTATATCATTATATGATGTTGTTAAAACATTATATGATGTGGTTAAAATATTATATGATGTGGTTAAATCATTATATGATGTGGCTATATCATTATATGATGTTGTTAAATCATTATATGATGTTGTAAAATTATTATATGATGTGTAAAAATCTTTATATGATGTGGCTATATCATTATATGATGTTGTTAGAACATTATATGATGTGGTTAAGTGATTATGTGCGCTTGTGTATTCCTTATATGATGTGGCTATATCATTATATGCAGTGGTTACATCATTATATGCAGTGGTTACATCATTATATGATGTGGTTTTCTCATTATATGATGTGGCTACATCATTATATGGTGTGGTCACATCATTATATGATGTTGTATTTTTATATGATGTTGTTGTATGAGTCATTACCACTGAGGGCAGTAAAATGAAATGGAATGTGCCTGTAACCCAATACGACATTTAAAATTGTCTTTGGAATGTAGGCCAATTTACCCCTCCACTCTCAGATCTCGCTAACCCTTATCTGTCATTGAGTCCCTTCTAGGCCTGCTAATGAGCTTTGTATCATGGATGCGGTATTTTCCCTTTGAAGTTGCCTAAATGTTAAATCCAGTTAAAATGAAAGGGGGTGGAGCTTAAGTATGCGTTAACTTCCAATGCGATAACTTGTTATTGCACACTTTTAAAATAAAGACAAAGTGCTAAAAAACATTTTAATTTCTTTTTCACAAACCAACAAAAAAAAAAAGGTTGACACATGTACTGTCATGTATGATTTAAACCAAATTTTTAAATTTTTCTGCATTAAGCCATGTCACAAGCGTTTGTCTCAAAAATTGAACGAAATTTTACAGTTTTCAAACTGAAACTTGTTGGTCAAATCCGCCATTGCCCTGTTGTCGATTTGTTTAGACGAATTGCTGCTAGAGGCCATAGACTGCAAACTCTCACAGACTTTTTCCAGCGTATTTTCAGCACACATAGGTTCTTGGTTATCATTTTCGTCATACGGTGTTTCCATTTTCATTGCTTTCGGCGCGGGTGGATCAAGTATTTTACTGACATTCTCTGCTACCTCTGGACATGATCGTTTGTACTTCCGCACTGCTCGCTCCGACCTATGTCCGGTTCGCTCCATGATCGCCTGTTCATCCATTCCAGTGCTGTACAACTGGCTAGCACAGGTGCGCTTTCCACTGTGGTTAGTAAAGTTTCCAACGAGACCCCCCTTTTTGCAGATGATTTTCATGAAGGTTTTAATCTTATTAACACCAACAACTTGTGCACCATATCGAATAGGGTTCCCTGCAAGTGGACGTCTGTAAAACTCTCCCTCGTTTCCAAGTGCATCAAGGTACTGATGAAAATAGTCGGCTATGCATCGATCTCCTTAAAACAAAATAACAAAAATAAATTTATATTCATCAATTTAGTTTGTAGTAATGTAAACAAAATCAATCTAAAGGAAAAATACCGTACCTGGTTGACAATAGTGCCGAATGTCTTTACTTTGCAGAGATAGATGGGCAAGTCCTCCCTTAAAAGTCTTGTTTGAACCGCCGCAAAAGTGGATGTATTTACCTCGCCCATCCTCACCAATCGTGACGTTTGCACATGTCAAGTCTCTATGCTCATCAAATCCCCGCAACCCGAATAATTTACACATGTAAAAAAACACTGTATACTGTAGCGTTTCCGCGGACTTGTTTCCCAGTACTTCTCTTTCCCAAAGCAGTTCTTCGTCTTCTTGAGTTATTGGATCTGCCTGTTTGACTTTAGTTCCCAGTCCTTTAGACAAGAGGGATTTCATTTGAGCATCCAGCGTTTTTCTAAACTCTGCAAATTTCAAGTCTGAAAAGAAATTAATGTCATGTCTCTTGTTGTCTCGTAAATACCTTAACAGTCCACAAACTAGATAGTAGACCGACTTAGGTGGGTATTCACTTCCGTCCTTCTTCCGTGCGTCGCATACAAAATGTGTCAATGAATAACTCATAGTAGAAACATCCATGTGTAGAAGTTCCGGTACTGCAAGTTCAAAAGGCAGATTTTTGCTTTTTTCTTGGCGCCACTTTTCGAAAACCCCAAATGCCCAACGAGTATTTCTGTTTGTATTTTGATTTTCTTGACTAGAAATCAGCTTCTCAATTTCGTAATCAGAAATTCCCCCGAAACGCTTGGTCGACTCATCGCTGTTCGTTTCACTGAATCTATCGGTGGCACCTCCGTCCATGCCGTCCAAATTAAAATCCCCAAACAGATCGAGGTCCAGTGCATTCGCGCCTGTCGGGTTAATGTCAAAGTGGTTCATACCATCAATGAGTTCCTCTTCTTTTTCAATGGCATCACATATCTGTGATAGAGTGAAATCATCCTCGGTTATTGCTAAAAAGTCAATCTCATCAAAATTGATGGTGCCGATTTTGTCGTCCATTTTCTCTCGCTGTTATACTGGAAATGTCGTCTGCACACGAGTTGCGCTATACCACAATGCTTTGTGACGGTGGGCGGAGTTTATCAAGAAAATTCTAGACTTTTCTAGATATTAACTTGTTTCCGCTGCACTAACGCTATATAAGGAATGTAGGCGGAGTTATCCATGATACAAGTTATTTATAGAACAGTTACTCGTAATAACTTAATTTATCGTACATCCACATTGGCCGAGACTCGTTGCTGCGCAACTCGTCCCGCCCTAATGTGGATGTACGATAAATTAAGTTATTACTCGTAAACTGTTCTCTAAATATCACTTAATAATTCCTGCTTCCCATATTCGTAAGAATAGATTTATAGCATAGGTTGATAAAAAAGTTACATACAGACTTGATCGCATGCTTATTTTAAATTTGCTCATTTGTGTGATATTGTCTGCATAAACAAAGTATAAAATATCCCAAAAATTCCAATTGATCATTTTGTTAATTTAATAAGTTTTTGAAATACATTGTACATCTGTTTCATTTTAAATTAATGAGTTCCCCAGGAGTTACTGGAGATTGAGATGCACCTGTAACCTTATCTTGGTGAAAGCCAATTTAGCCCGATCTCTGAGTCTCCTAATACTGGGTTAACATGTTGACATTTATGTAATGGCAATATGTAATGCAACGGCTAGAGACAAGGAAGGGGTTTTAAGAATGGAGTCTGGAGTTGAATCAGATTTTGAATGGTTTATGTATTATGCCCCATTGGTCAGATAGATTTTGAAGTCTAACATCAAAATCATATAAAAATGAAATTCTTAAATGAAAACAAGAAATCGTACTTCCAATTTTGCTGAAAGATAAGTTTAGCGCTACTTGTTGAACCTCCAGTCCATAAGTTATCTAATGCCGTTTAAAACAAAGCTATCTCCCAAACTCAGCAAACTTGGGTTTTATTTCACATTTTTAATTTAGTAAAATGTCTACTCCAAGTATGTCCAGCATTGATTCTGTATTAGAAGAATTGAAATTACAATATCCTACTGGCTGATTTCTGAGATCTGAGAGTTGAGGGGTAAATTGGCCTACATTCCAAAGACAATTTTAGATGTCGTATTGGGTTACAGGCACATTCCATTTCATTTTACTGCCCTCAGTGGTAATGACTCATACAACAACATCATATCAAAATACAACATCATATAATGATGTGACCACACCATATAATGATGTAGCCACATCATATAATGAGAAAACCACATCATATAATGATGTAACCACTGCATATAATGATGTAACCACTGCATATAATGATTTCACAACATCATATAATGACATAGCCACATCATATAAGGAATACACAAGCGCACATAATCACTTAACCACATCATATAATGTTCTAACAACATCATATAATGATATAGCCACATCATATAAAGATTTTTCCACATCATATAATAATTTTACCACATCATATAATGATTTTACTACATCATATAATGTTTTAACAACATCATATAATGATTTAACAACATCATATAATAATAAAGCCACATCATATAATGATTTAACAACATCATATAATGATATAACCACATCATATAATGTTTTAACCACATCATATAATGATTTAACAACTGCATATCATCAAAAATTGACCTTAAGGCAGCTGTGGCGTTCCATAGGTTTCATGAGCGCCGAATGTTTATTAAGCTATGCAGCCTTACGGCACCCATAAGGAAAGACGTAAACGTGGAGGAAAGATAATAATCATACATGAATGCGACTTATACCAATATCTTACCTCGCATATGAGAAACTGCATATGGCCGATTGTAATAAACAACTCAGAAAAAATTAAGACAAGCATCCATTTAATAAGATGTTTATGTCAGGCTAAAAAAATGTAAAATTTCCGTATTCATATCTTTGTAACGTTAGATTAACTTTTGGGATTCCTATCTCCTATAGTGACAGATTTTTAATAACACTTAAAACGAATTCTAAGCTTAAGAGTCGTGTTTGTTCACGGTCGAATTGTCATAAATATTATATTCTTCTTAAATATGCATAAATTTTACAAAGAGTTTGTTCTAAAAAAATCTTTTGAGCAAAAACGTTAAAACCACGTGTTTTATTCATTTTTTCACGGGTTTGTCTAAATGCTATGTTATCTGATTGGTCAGAAGGACTAGCACCTTGTTTATTCTGTGTATTTAAAGCAGTTCACGGTTATCACTCTTGACATCCTAATTTAGAAATCGTCCAGACCTGTTTAATACATAATAAATCACACAAACACACTGACATATAGTTTTGAAAACCCTATAACCCTTTTTTCTGTCGGACTTTGCAAGTAATTGTTTAAGAAATCACTGTATAGTTTGGAGAGTATGCCAGGGCATCAACAATAGTGGGAAACATGGGATAATTTGCTTAACGGGCGAAGCCCGTTATGCTTAAATTATCCCATGTTTCCCACTATCGTTGATGTCCCTGGCATACTCTCCAAACTAGACAGTGATTCCTTATATTTCCATTTCATTGTGAAATAAAATTGTAGGCTTAGACATTTAAAATGTAGACTAATAGATTTAAATTACACAAGGACTTCCATGCCAATTTCAATAGTCCTCGCACACTGACGACAAACACAAAGGCAGCCGCACGAGATTTACATGCATATTTGGCCTCCTTAGCGTCAGACACAGAGACAGATGCGCACGAAAGTTGCATGCATATTAGATCTCCTTAGCTGCTGACCTATCGACCTGCCTAATTTACATTCCGGCAGAATTATCAAGAAATAAATTCCCCTCAACTTTCAAACAGTTATCACAGAGTAAAAAATCAGAAATGGAAATATTCAACAATATAGGCTACGTACATTTTTGCATACATCGAGAGCTTATGTCTTATATCATTTGGAAAATCCTGCTAAAATTGGATGGCCACCGCGAGTTGAGTGGAGAAAAACTCTTTGATTGTATGAACAAACTGTAAAACTTCTTTAAAGGTTTAATACAAAAGTGAAACATAAAGTGAAAATAACTGATACATTTCAAGCTAGTATTTACAAACGCCAAAATTTGACAAGCAAAACACCTGTTAAGACTAAGTAAGTCAAACGCATTAGCAAAATGTACAAGATCTAAACTTACAAACATATATCGTAGAAGTTTGATAGCTATAACCAATTGCCGACACAATAAGAGGTACGTGTATATTAAACACAAAATCACAACTTACCAAAATATTATATATGCATGCCAAGAGAAATTACTAGAAATATATACTGAAAGGAAAAAGCAACACGGGGTAAATTTAGAGGCGAAATAATTTTATTTTTCCGTATTTTCTAGCATTCTTATCTAACGTTTAAGGTATATGTCACTTGTCAGCTTTTTAGAAGAGTTCACGCAGAACCCCTTAATTCAAAATTATTTATTAAAATTCAATTTTTATGACATTTTTAAATTCAACAATGTTAATGTTTTAACATTCAACGAAAAAACTGCTCAAAAAGCTACAAAGAAGCAAGATTTATGACGGACTATATGAGGGCATAAATAGCAGCCAATGAGGAAAATGGTGGAAATTTCAATTTTCTTGCCACCCTTCACTTCAGGGGATATATTTTTGAATTCATACTAATAGCACCAATTACCATTTTGAGATAGTTGTTATGTAAATAAAGTTTAGTTTTCTGCATAAGAAAATGCATAGAATATATTTCAAATGTTTCTAAAACGGGAGAATTTATCAATTGAAATTCTGAAGTGACACTGATTTTCAAAATCTGCCTGTTTTGATTGACAGCTAGCAAAGCTCTGTTTGTATATTTACACCGGAAGCTCTTATCTCCATGGACGCATTCAAATTGGCTTCTAAATATATGATTATGCCTAATTCTCCTATATCAGCAAAGAGAAAGAAAAGTCCATTAATTCCTTTCATTTGATGAAGAGATAAAGAACACACTGTATGTAAACAAGAACAGATAAAAGTGCATCCTGCTGTTTCAGGCTGTTATCAACTGACCGCTGTTCACAGCGCAGAGTACAAGTAATTAGCACATAAGCACTCAAGTCAATAGATAAGACTTATATACGAAATTGCAAACAAATGTAATTATCACGAAAACATAAATTTCATTAATTCACATGTGTATTTAAACTGTTCAACATGACATTCACTGTCATCGTGTCCCATGTATAGGATATCCTTTGGATTGGGATACCAAAATCTCACAAGATCAACAACACATTCTGGTAGAAAGTCTGTTACTGTCCCTTCGCTGGCTTGCAACATTTTTCAATCGAGGGTGTGACTGCAGCGCGATAAGTTTTCTTTCTTTGTATCGGGCATCAAGAAAAACTTCTCTGTGAAAGAGCATTGTCCAAAAAAACTTATATATTTGCTTCCAGGAGGAGCTGTTTCTTCTGTCCGGTAACACTGCTTCAGAGGGCCATCGCATCCGTGTTTTTTTTCTCATCTGTTATGCAGGGTTTGCACAAACACTGTTGACATTCATCACAATTTTCATTCTGTGGGATACGGAATGTCCTCTCAAATAGTATCACCTTCGCATAACTTTTCATCTAATTTCCATTCATTAAGATATATAAACTGAATAATTGTTTCCCTTTGTTCAGGATTCACTCTCAAAGACATTACACATATTTGTCATCATTTTCATCCATTTTGCTATAAGAACTATGGCTGGAATTGGAGGGAAAGTTTTAGGGCATGGGGCACCAAAGGAGGTTTATAAACATGTTGTTGTCTATTTGGTCACTTTTGTAAAATTTAAACATTATTATTCTTTTTGGCTCAAAATTGTTATAAAATATATACACTGACAATCTATCAAATATAATAACTATCTCTGGGGGTTTTCTTGTATCATATTCTTTGACCCCTGAGGGCCCATCATGGGAGGTGTGCTGACTAATAGATTTATTGACATTTGGCGGGATGCAGGGGGGAGGGAGTGCCTCCCCACTCTGAAAATATTTCAGCTTTACATGTTACATTGTATCTGGTCTATTCTATTTGATAATAAACAAAGGGTAAATTAAGATTATAAATATTTAATTGTATAAAAACACATAATTTCAAACGCAAGAGGTGAGACTTGATTTT